TTCCCTGTGCTGGTGTCTAAAGGAGTATCTCTGTCTATTCTTTTCCTTCACCTACATCTTCTCTAGCACAGTACCTTCTTCCAGATCATCTGTTGCCTATTCTGAACTAAAGGAACAGAAGTCAGTTATCTGGTTTTTGCTTATTTTGGAGTTAGATACTTTAGAAATGTGACAACCTTTTCAAATGCATCCTATTGTCATAGGAAAGATACAGAGAAAAGAAGGTAAGGAGATTGAGTGTCCCTTTAAAAAAAAAAAAAAAGGCAAAAGGACCCAGGGAATTGTAGACTAGTTAAGTATCACCTCAGTACTTCAGAAGTTACTGAAGCATATCTGAAGGAAGGCCATTTTCAGGCATCTCAAGGCGGAAAGGCTGATCACAAGCACACACCACGGATTTATTAAGTAAAATACATGTCAAACAAACTTGATCTCCTTCTTTGACAAAGTAACTTCTTGGGTGGATGAAGGGAATGCTGTGGATATAGTTTATCTGGACATCAGCAAGGATTTTGACAGGATCCCACATGATCTTATAAATTGGAGGAATGTGGGCTAGACAAAACTTAATTAAGAGTTGGATAGATAACTGGCTCAAGAGCTGCAAGCAAAGGGTAATTATAAATGGATCCATGTTAGAATGGCAGGAGGTTGCAAGTGGAGTCCCGTAAGGGTCTGTCCTAGGCTCAGTGCTGTTCAACATGTTTATTAATTCTGGGGAAGATCCAGGGAGCTACAGGACTGCAATAAGTGGTACAAAAGGGAAACAAGTACGTCTAAATGCAAAATATGTCCAATGCACGTGAGAAATACGGGGAATAAACAAGATGAGCTGGAAGCTGTAACCCGTGGAAAAAACTATGATTTGATTGGCATCACAGAGATCTGGTGGAATAGCTCTTATGATTGGAATGTCAACATTGAGGATTACAGTCTGTTTTGGAAGGACAGGTTTGGGAGGAAAGGTGCCAGTGTTGCTTTTTATGTAAAAAACACATACAATTGTTCCCTGGTTTAGGAGGAAGACAGCAAAGCATAATGAATTTGGATGAAGATGAAAGGTGAAAGTTGCAGCACCAATATAATGACAGGGATTTATTATAGGCCACTAAATCAGGAAGAGGAGGTGGATAATGCACTCTCTTCAAGCAGGTGACAAATCTATCCAAAAGAGGTGGGATGGTACTGATGGGAGAATTTAGTTTTCTGGACATCTGCTGTAAAAACAAGCAGCCAAATATAAAATGCCAAACTGGTTCCTAACTTGTGTGGAGGATAACTTTCTGTTCCAGAAAGTGGAAGATATGATTAGAGGATTATCTACCTTGGATTTTGTCCTGACCAAAGGGGAAGAACTGGTGTAGGATGTGAAGGTGAGGAGTAATGTGGGAGGAAGCGATCACGATACAGTAGAATTTCAGACCCTGAGATAGGGAAAGCATGAGGTCAGCAAAATTAGGATGTTTGATTTCAAAAAGGCAGACTTCATCTGGTTCCAGTAGTTAATAGGCATGGTACCATGGGAAAACACACAGAAGGATAAAGGTGCCCCAGGAGGGCTGGGAACTTCTAAAAGGCGTAGTACTAGAAGCCCAGCAAGAAACTGCCTGGGCATGATGGAAGCACAAGAAGAATGGTAGGAGACAAATGTGGCTGCATGAGGAGCTTCTCAAATGCAAAAGGAAAGGCAGTGGAAAAATGGGCAGGTCACCAAGAAAGTATACTACGAAATAGCAAGAACCTGCAGGGACATAATCAGGAAGGCAAAGATAAAGAATAAGCTGCACCTGGCAAAGGAGGTCAAGGACAACAAAAGGAAGTTTTATAAGTATGTTGGCTAGAAAAGAAGGACCAAGAAAGCTATGGGTCCTCTGTTAACAAGGCTGGGGAAATTCCTAACAGAAGATGCAATGAAGGTGGATCTACTCAACAGCTACTTAGCCTTACCTCAATACTTGGGAAGCTAGTGGAGCATATGTTAAGGAAAGCCATTTGCAAGCATCTGGAGGAGGAAAAGCTGATCACAAGCGGCCGGCAAGGATTTATAAAAAACAAATTATGTCAAACAAGCTTGATCTCCTTCGACAGAATTACTGCTTGAGTGGATAAAGGGAATGCTGTGGATGTAGCGTATCTGGATTACAGCAAGGTTTCTGACATGGTTCTGCCTGACCTTCTCATAAATAAACTGGAAAAATGTGGGCTGGACAAAACTGTTATAAGGTGGATCGATAACAGGCCTAATAGCTGCAAGAAGAGGGTAGATATTAATGGGTCCATGTCAGAATGGCAGAAGGTCTTGTGTGGAGTTCCATGGGAGTCTGTCCTAGGCCCAGTGCTGTTCAATACATTTATTAATGATTTGTACACTGGCATAGAAAGCTTTGTGAGCCAGTTTGCAGATGACATGAAACTGGGAAGGATTCTGAACATGTTGAAGGAAGGGAGCGCAATTCAGATTGGAATGCCAGATTAGAAAGCTGGGCTGAACTAATGAGATGAAGTTAGGTGCTTCACCTCTGGAAGAATAATTAAAAACAAATACAAAGCGGGTGACACCTGGCTAGATGACAGCACTGTGGAGAAGGATCTGGGAGTCTCCATAGATCAGAGACTTGGTGTGACTGTGTGTAGTGCAGCCACACAAGGCAAATGTAGTTTTGAGATGCATTAATAGAAGCATTTAGATGCAAGACATAGGAGGTGACAATACCCCTGTACTTGTAACTGGTTAAGCACCATCTAGAGTATTGTGTAGTTCTGAACTCGACATTTTAAAAAGGACTTGGAGAATTTAGGGTCCAGAGGAGGGTGACAATCCTCCAACTGATAAAGGGCTTCTTTTGTCGTCATAACTAAGCTATGCTGTTGAAATATAATTGCATCCAGTGACACATTGCTAACAACCTTCCCTTAGATTTGAAAGAGGAATTTGGTCTGTTTTGTCTGTCTGAATGGCAATTTCAAGCATGTTTAGATGCAGCTGCAATGAACACGTGTTGGATTTACTGTGAGGACAAATTCCTGATTAGCCATCTTTTCCATGCGTTTTGGGTGTCCCAGTTCCACGAAGATGTGGACAAAATAGAGTCCATTGGAGAGCAACAGAAATTATTAGAGGCCTAGGAAGCTTGATTTAGGAAGAAAAATTGAAAGAGCTGGGATTATTTAGTCTGGAGAAAAGAAGACAGAGAGATTTTTGTAAGTTTTCAAATACCTGAATGGTGGTTATAAAGATAATGGGGTGGCTTTAAAAATAAAGGGAAGGAAAGTGTGGGATTGCTGCTGGCTGTTTCTAGTGCTTGAGGCTGCAACATACAGTAACATTTCAAACGCATTGAAGAAAGGGATGGGGTAGGAGGCAAGCAGAGGGGTAGTGTTGACTTGCTACCTGGAAGTTTAGCAAAACTTCCTGGTTTGGCCTGGACTGATGCTGGGGCTCAAGTTCAGGATTTGACAGTATGTCCTAACAATTCAAAGATACCTTCGGTTTATTTCTCGTATACAGTTAATAGATTTCTGATGAGAAAGTCTTACATTAATCCTCTGGTTCACAAAAAAATCTGCCTTCGCAAGACTAGTTATTTCAACAGTTGATGGAGATATTGTTTGCATCACTGTTGATTTGTTTTCCCCAACTCCATTCCACTATTTACAAATAATAGTGGCATTTTAAGTGGCTGTTACTCTGAAAATCACAGTGAGTGAAATGCAAGGTGTCACATCAAAACACAGTTTACATCAGTGTTTCCTACCCAGTGTGCCATGGCACAAAAGTGTGCTATCAGAAGTGAACAGGTGTGCTGCAGAATTTTGCCATGGCAATGAGCTACAATAGGTATGAGGCTGGGGAATGCCTTAACAGGTGTGCCATGGAACATTTTTATTAGTGTAAGTGTGCCTTGAGCTGGAAAAGGTTGGGAAACACTGGTTTACAGTATGCCATATAGAGTAACAGTCAATGTGCATCCAAAGTATCCTTTAGGTGTAAGGAGCAGCCTAGTTGAGTAGAACAAGATCCATTTGCAGACATCCTAGATTCTTGGTTTCCTTTGGTAACATATAAAGGGAGGCAAGTTTCAGTTCAGGCAGCATGACCTGCAGGCTGTATTAGACTATATTAGCGTATGATATCATTAAGTCCTGTGTGATTAGAACAGCCTGAAATTTGGTTGTCTACTAGCATCCTTCAGTAGATGCTCACTGCTAGAGATTTGCCAAACAACAACATAAGCATAAGTGCATATGTATACCAGTTGTGCATGCAAGGCATATGCATAACTCATAATAAACTGATATGCAGAAAGGTGTGTATATGCCCATCATGAGTGGGTTACATGTAGAGTATCTTGAAGAACAGTTCCTATAACATGACCTATTTTTTATCTTTTTGCCTTGCTTATAGAATTCTCTTTTTTCCAAAATACTAGTAGATAATGCTGGCAGTGCAGTGAATTCAGAATTAGGCTTTGCTTATTCTATTTGGACTTTAATGGGATAGTTTACAGAATAGTGAGCACATAAACAAGTGTTTATGTGTTTGGACCTTAACTGTACATTTACATACTGGAATGTGATTTGGTTTCTCATAAGTGCTTCAGTTATTAATGTTTGGGGCATAAATGCCATGTGCTCAACTAGCAATCTTTACCCTTAATTTTAATTCTATTTTGTTTGTTTGTCTAAAAAACGTACATAATAGTCTAATGGCAAAATTTGAACAGTTTAATAAGCAGTTCAAACAAAGTAACATACTTCTGATATATATATATAGTGTGTGTGTGCGTATATATGTATATATGTGTCTCTATATATAATGGTGGCACCCAAAGGTGTCAAGTCATAATTAAGAAAGACTTGTCAGTGGTCGGCACAACTGAAACACTGGTAGAGAGACAACCCCTGCTTTGGCTAAGTTAAAATTTCAACATACAGGTTTATAAATTTAATCTTTAATGTTATTATTTTTATTTCAAGAAAATGAATTTTCTTGTTTTTAGATAAAACTATTAAATTATGGAAAATAAGTGAAAGGGATAAAAGAGCTGAAGGTTATAATTTGAAAGATGAAGATGGAAGACTTAGGGATCCATTCAGAATCACAGCACTACGGGTATGTTTGGCTCTTTCTTTAGTTTGACTTCAGTTAAATTATTTTTTGAATATACAGTTTTACCTTTGTACTTTTTAGAAGTGATACTTGCAGGACAAATTTATGTGGATTAAACCATTTTATTAGGCACTTCATATTCATGCAAAAATTTTAAAAAATTAGATGAAAAGACGCTACTATATGTTCATTAATTCAGGTACAGAATAAAGCACTGTATAGTTGGTTCCAGAAGATTAAACACCAGACTGTTTTACTGAATCATTTGCTATATTATGAGTTATCTTGGAATATCTTGTAAACAGGAATACAGTTTTTAAAATATGCTTAATTTTTGTATACATATTTTTCTTTTTACTCAGAGTTTATGGACAGTTAAATCAATTACAATAGAATCTTATTTTTCAGAAGCTAGGTTTTAATATAACAGACACTTAAGTTATAGTTGAACCTAAATAGAAAAGCACTTCAGTTTGTTTCTCTGAACAGGCCTGTTGTGTAATTGATCCATTTCCCAACATGATAGTGTAAAAAAAATGTTTCCAGTGGCAACTGTCAGCAGTTTTTCTGTATTAGCTTAAAAAAGAAAGCTATGTTGGACATTTTGGTTCACTTGTTTCTGAACTTAACTAGGCCCACTGGATTCAGTTAGACATTGCTTCTTTCCTCTGCTTTGGTCTGTGAATATGGCAAAGATGGATCACTTCACTGTGTGGGGGTGGAGTTTAACTGTCCTCTGCATTGTTAATATATTGCTTAGTCTTGGAATAGGACTTAAATGATGAAAAGAGATTTACATCAAAGTAAATTCCTCTTTTAAATGCATGGGTTGTAACTGTTGTTTTTTTAATCTTTCCTTAATCTCATCAAGGGTTAGGGTTCCTTGTTCATTTGTTTGTTTTTGAATTAAAAGACAGATTAATTTTTTACATAACATTATAGGAGAGTACCAGTCCTGTTGTACTTGAGAATCTTTTCTGTTTAAAGATTGACTAAAACCAGGAAGTAGTTAAGCTAAAAACCCAATAAAACCTCAATTCTGTCTCCTTTAATGCAAAGTTGCATTTCACTTATGCCACATTGTACTTGCATTCTGCCTCTGCATTGCACTGAGTAGGAGATGACCATCCCTATCACACAGTTGCATTTAGTCCATTCCACAAAAAGAATGCTCTGTGTGTTAAATGTTATTCTTGCTTTTCAAATCACCCAGTGTGTAATCAGTGTCATTACTTTCACTTATCCATCATTAAATCTACAGATCATATTTATTTGACACCGAGCTGCTAGCATAAGAAACCCCCCCAACAACTATCCCTCCCCTCCCCTTTGCCCCCAACTACCTAAAGAATGCTTTTATGAAATGAAGCATTCTGGATCTCTTCAGGTGCACAGGCACCTCTGATCACAGAAAATGGGAATCAGGTTTCTCTCTCAGAAGGCGATAGCGGAGCAAGTCACTTAATCACAATTTCAGCCCTGCCAAACGTTTCCAGCTAATCTCTCGTATTCTATACAGCTGAATCTAATGTCCTGAAAACACCTAGAATGCTTGTGAATAATGTATTGTCATTTCCAGGAGGACAGGGTAAATAAAGGCTGAATGGGCATCTGTCTTAATTCTTCCTGGTTTTTAGAAATTCACACTTTTCGGAACTCTGCTTTCTGGAAGGGCGTGAGAAAACCACAAGCAACCTTTACTCTGCATTAATAGTTTTGTCATTGAGTATTGTTTTTCATTCATCTTGACTTTACAACTTTGTTTCACTGTAGTTCTTTTCTCTAATTTTGTTATAAATTTTAAAATTTAACTAATGTAGTGAAAAGAACAAGAAAGTTTTTAAATAAAAAAGAAATAGGGAACCTTCGGAAGTTTCTTGTACATTTTTAAATTTGCTTTGCTTTGACTTTCTGTTTCATGTGTAAAAAAACAATTTGGCACTAATTAAGCTAAAGATCAGTAGCTCATTATGTGGGCATGGTCATTTTTTTTTAATTGATCTTTTTTATTTCCGTTTTCTAATAGTTCATTCTTTAACTTTCCTTTTTTAAAACAAGATTTAAAGTGTATCTATTTTTCCTGTTGGTGGGCAGAGGAATACACTTTTGGACTTTCTAGAGGGAAACAGTATATAAACAAAATGTTACCAAATGCTGAAAGTAAACAGATTGAATTCCTTTTGCTAATTTCATTTCTGGATGTTACATGAAAATACATTTTTCAGGCATTAGTTTCAAATTGATAGCATCTCTAAATGTGCCTATCCCCTGATAAGGAAAGATGTAAGTGAATTTTTAATATGAATCTCTTATACAAAATATCATTCCTTTCAGTTCCATGTTCCTAATCCAGGATATGGGTTTTGAATGGTGATGTGGGAAGTCAGAGTAAGTGGACAACTAGTCTTACAGAATGCATTTGAAAAACAGCTAAAAACTGAATTCTTTCAATAAAGAAAAGAAAAATCAGATTTCTGTAGTTTAAAGCATTTTTACTAATAGCAAATATATTATGTGTTAAAATTAATGGATTCAACTAAAATTTTAAATTGTGAGTTTTTTCCCTATATGTAAAAATAGACTATTCTTGTTTTTTTTCTTGTCTCTATTTTAGGTGCCAATATTGAAACCCATGGATCTAATGGTAGAAGCAAGTCCCAGAAGGATATTTGCTAATGCACATACATATCACATAAATTCTATTTCAGTAAATAGTGATCATGAAACGTACCTTTCTGCAGATGACCTAAGAATTAATCTATGGCATTTAGAAATCACAGATAGAAGTTTTAGTATCCTTTTTCTGTATGAATTTTGTAACCATGTGTTTGGAATATAATAGAAGCACTTAAATTTTAATACACTCAGTAAGCCCCTGAATACCTGAACTCTAGGCACATGGTAAATTAATTCCAAAACTGTGCTTATTCACATCTGGAAAGCAAGTATCTGGATTTGGCCTAGTTTGTTTGGGACTGCAAGAGCATGAAATTCTGGGACCATAGCTCTTAAATGTGTTTGATTTTTCATTACATGAACTTGATCATACATTTTTAAAATAAAATTATATAAAGAATTTCATGTTACAAAAGTCTGCTTCCCACTGTAGCTAAAACATTTCTAATAAGATGTCTAATATGAAGATATTTAGAATGGTATATACCAGTGTTTCTTAACGATCACTATTGAAGTACTCTTTGCTGTGGCAGCAGGCCTTCCTATCTAAGACTGAAACAACTATTTGAGATTAATTTGATGAACTGTGTGGGGGAAAGGAAAAGCTTATATAGCAAAAGGAAAGACCTTTTGAGATATAAAACAGCAATTTAGTCAGATAAACAGGCAGGATATTATTTAGCAAAGATGTGTGGGTTTTATTTAAATCAGTTTCAGTACAAGTGTACTTTGGTTTTATTGAGTAAAGATTCTAGAAGAGGGGAGAGGGGAAAACACTGCTTTTCTAATCCATTGTACAGTTATTTGATGCTAAAGAATTCAAAATACTTTTGACCGGCTTACTTTCATCATCTTATTTTTTTTTAATTGGAAACGCACACTATGCTTTGGAGATCAGATGCTTTCAGCTAGAAATGCATTTATAACTTTGAATTTCTTCTTTCAGCCTCAGTTCAACCTTTGGCAACTGCTATACCACATCTAGAGCTGTTCTAAGGCATACTATTTGGAACAGTCCAGAATCATTTTTATGCCACGTGGGCCCTTTTACCTTGTATAAATGGGCACAGATAGGATCATACTCAAGGCTTCTTTAAAAAACCTGGTATTTTTTTAAACAATTTTTTGCCAATTATATTAGAAATAAAGCATTAACTGCTATTTGCCTTTACCAGTAATTTTCAGATATTGTAGATATTAAGCCTGCGAATATGGAGGAACTAACAGAAGTGATTACTGCTGCAGAGTTCCACCCACATCACTGTAATGTGTTTGTCTACAGTAGTAGTAAAGGAACTATTCGACTCTGTGATATGCGTTCTTCAGCTCTCTGTGATAGGCATTCAAAATGTAAGTTACCTAAGATCTCTCTT